CATAGTCTTAAAATTCCGCAATGTGCTCATACTGCCATAAAACATTTAAGTTGTCCAAACCAGACTATCATGCTAACTGAAATAACTGGAAAAACGCTTGAAAAAGAACATGTCAAAATGAACTGCTCCAGCAGCTCATGCTGTTAACTCTGAAGATCCCAATTCAATATGCCATTGCTTTCTTCAAGCTCTTCAGCATATCAATAAACCTCTTCTTGGAATTTCAGAACTTCTCAAAATCAGACAAGATGTGTGGCGTAATGCAATTTTTACACTAATAACATGTCTGCTCTGACATCAAGAGAGAAGAAGCAGTTATAAACAGCATACACATGGAACAGAAAACAGGCACAAGATCATGTTGTTAAGGATAAAGAACATGCCCGCAAGGTGCACGGAAATACAAGTCACTTATCCTGCGATCCTTCTCTCCCCTAGTTCCTTCCTCTTCAACTTTAATCAGTAAAAGGTCTGTTAGGTCTCATTATATGTATATATATATATATACACACGCGCACACACACACACGTACTCTGAAATCTAGACAAAAAGTGAAATAGCCAGTCAAAAACCTAAAATATTTACATAATGAAAACTTATTTTCCTAACTACATTTTCATCAAATAAGCCACTTTTCCATGCCACTCACACCTAAATTCTGAATTGCAGAACCCTTTATAAAAGGGAATAGGCTTATTAAATTACTTCAGCATTCCTCTAACAATAGAAAAGTGTTGTATAATTGCAATTGATTTTGGCTTTTTAGATCATGTCATAGGAATTTACAGACACAGCTTTCAGGTATCACAGTGAAAAACCCACTGATCTCAACAAAAGTTAAATTGCTTTACAAACTAAACCTTCTAAAGATGATTTACTAATAACAAAGATTCATACTTTTACCTGCCTTTTACAGTATTTATGCTATAATTACTTGCCACCCTCTATTTTGGGTATTTGGTGTCAAATTATACTTTTTAAAAAAAAAAAAAATCATTTTTCCTGCTCTTATGCCAAATCTGACTGTCGGTTTTTATTGGAACATCAAAAGCAGGCTTTTAATTCTCACAGTTTTGATGCTTAATGAAAAGTGAAAGTTAAACACAGCATGGCAGCATTAAAAATGCATGGTAAATCCATAGCACCCTGACATCTTAGCCCTGCAGAGGATGTGAAGAAAAGCCATTGTAAACAAAAGATAATACTACTAAATACAAAGCAAATTAATTAGATGGTCTGACAGACTCTTAAACAAAGAAAAAATGGAGGGAGAACATATGTACAGCTATCTTCCAGCAAAGATATCAGTGGTCTGCCAGCAGCACAGCCATATATAGAATTTAAGTTTATGTCTTCATTTTCAGACTTTGCTGTTGAATATCTGGAAATTGATACACTGATAAGATAGAATAGTCAAGAACTTGGACAAAGAAGGGGTTTTACATCCTTAGTTGTACCATGGAATCCAAATGGCAAGGACTCCTGGCTCTGAACCACCTATTTTACAAACTACAGACTACTAAGGATTGTTAACAGTTAAACTGTCTACACTAAACCCAAATTTAATCAAAGTGAGAATTTCCTTTCGTGCAGAAAAGGTGTCTAAGTTCCCCTGCCTCATTTCAACAAATAATCAGCCCTTCTAAGGCTCCTGGCACTTGCTGTTTCTGAAAACTGATATCTGATAGGCGTGAACTGAGCTGCAAGCTCACCAGTAGTACCTGAGATGATCTGTTTTGCTCCCTGCAGTCTTCTAGGAATTAAGCTTCTCATCCAGAAAGTAAAAGTAATAATAAAATATTTTACTATTTTAATGCATTTTTTGTATTAAAAAGAAAGATCAATACTGGTATAGTTGGCAATATATGGAATATTTTACATTCACACATTCTACACAATGTTTGTTTGCAAATGGGAATAAGCAGACTAATATGATTCCTTAATTTAGTTTCAGAAGTTTGTCCTCAGGAAACAAAGATGTATCTTACAGCACATTTTTGCCAATAATATAAGATGCTTATATCCTTTAATTTTGCTTTCTTTCACACACGTTGAGCTGATTTTTCCTTTTCTTTCACCTGATCCAAAGTTGTATTTTAATAATTCACTTTTGTATTATTATAAGAAGCTTGTACAGACACTCCATGGCAATCTAAAAAGAAATATATAGCTGCAGTGAGCCTAACACTGTAGCTGAACTCTAGCATTTTGGTCATGCAGCAATGTCAGAAGAAAATGATCAGAAACCTCTCTTCTATCCCTGGTCAAGCTTCTAAGGACAGCAGAGTTCCTGAAAGCTTAGCATTTCAGTGTAGATTCCTGCATAACATACACACCACATAATATGGCAAGTTTCCCAGGGTAAAGAAATAGCTAAGGGTATGCCAAAAGAGGTAGCAGTCAATGTGCCTGAAATTAGGCATCTCTCCAGAACTATCTCTTTCCCCACTTCTTTAATCCTGGAGCACTGGGGGAATAGTCGTCACTCAAGCCTGTGAGCTGCTTATTCACTGTTGTCTTGAAAGGGAAAAAGTTGTGATTCCTTTTAAAACTAAAAACAGACTTAACTTTCCTCTTCTAAAGCTAATACTAATTTTAGTACAATTCAGGCAATAAACTAAGATTCAGATTTTCTCATGTAACAGGGTAAAGGATGGTAAGAGAGAAACTTAAAATAAACCAACCCCTCTTTTCTTTATCACAGAGCCATCATGTCTTTTGAGGAGGTCAGTGAAGGAGACTGCCAAATGTGCATTAGCACTTAAAAGGATGCAAGTAGAAGAGCAATGCTTCAAACGGATTAAAAGACATTTGTGCCCAAAAAGACTGGGTTTGGAACTCTTCACTGTAATTTAAATAAAAAGCTAATTTACCTTTGTATAAATGTCCCTAAAAATATTTAATTTGTATTGTTTATAGTGCATTTAATTTAAATTAACATAATGAAAGTGACTAAGTGATTTTTTCACCAGGGCTTAGAGTGCTCTGAGGCATCTCTACATAAGCAGGTGACCTGGAATTCAATAGTTCTTCATCTTGCAAAATAAACAGACAAATGAAAACCTGTAAGAATGTGTTTCCCTACTCACAGAATCACTTAACCACTGATTATATAAAATTAGTGTTATACGGACTTAGATGCTGTCCCAGTCAGAACCTATTTCGGGGGGAATTAGACAGAGATATGAAAGTTTTCAGAAGAAACTCAGGCAAAATTGAGATGTTTCTGGAGTGAGTTACTGCATCAGTTCCACTAACATACAGAAAGTTACTGAAATTGAGCTTATGATACTTCCACAGCTTGCCCTGAGGGGTAAGGACAGCTACTGCTTATTTGTTATATAAAATCTAGTACAAAAAGCTTATGGAATACAAGTGGCCATTTTGCATCCTGTGGAAATTGAAGAATAGGGACATTATAGCATTAACTTTCTTAAATGCTCCTCAATATTTGTTTGAAATCATCAGCAACATTTGCACAAATCAACATGAAAGTTGCCTTAAAAAGGATGGACAATCATCCTACTTGCTTTCACTCTTGTGCATCCATATGCATAACCACACACATCTTAATATTAATTTTTCCTTACTCTTAAAAGGGTATTTTGGCATAATTAATATGTTTCTACTTAATATCCTCCTCAGATGAAATTATATGTTGCCTTTTAGGTCTGAGAGGCTTCCCCAGGGAATTGGCTAGATTTAGAAGTACCAATTAAAACTTTATATGGTAATGACTGAAACAAAAGGTCCCTCCTTGAAAACAAAGTTAATCCTTATAGCAACAGCCCCAACTTTCCAGATCAGCCGCACTACTGCTCCTTCTCCTTTTGCCCCACACCTCACAGCACACAGCTGCCTCTTGCACAATGCAACTTCCCTGCGCGACTGTTCTTTCCTCAGTCCGCACTTCCCAGGGTGACAGGGGAGCTCAGTAGGGCCCTGAACCAGACAGACAGCAGGAGGGACTGAGATTTCAGTAAAGCTAAGGTGATTTCTGGAATAAGAATCACTATAGCCCAATGATATTCAGACAAAAATGTTGTGGGTGTTGTGATGATACCAGATACAGAGGCTCAGCAATTCTGCAATGTATAAATCTAGTCAATTAGTTGTAAATATTTGCAAAAGTTGGCTGCAAGTTTCATAACACAGTCCTGTGTTTATGTAAATAAGGAAGAGGCAATAAGAAATGATCTTTCATTATGCTAACCTATAACAACAGTACAGCTTATAAAGGATTCTGTAAAAGCAAGAGGGAAAAAAGTTAGGCCAATATTTTATGGTGGCAGAACCACTCTGCAAACATGCTCTCTCATTTTCATGAACATCATTTTCCACAAAGTGATCTTCTGAAAGAACAAGATACAGTTCTTGCAGCATCCCTCCAACAGTGTCATCTTCAAAATGTTTTTCTCATTTTCCAACCCCTCAAACTCAACTATGAAATCTGAAGAACCAGTTGGACACTAGCTAATGCGTATACTGTCACAGACTTGGAAACTATTCCAACAGTTCATTACATTTTAACTAAATAGGCCCTGGATAGTCAACAGAAGTCAAAAATAGACATATCACGTTTCTGGCACTAACAGAGCATGTCCACAGTTCAGAGAAACACTGTGCAAAGAAGCTCAAGCTCAGTCTGAGGGATCACACAGAGTGCCTAATCCACAGGTGTACTTGAGCTGTGCTGCACCGGGGATGATTACCCAGGACAGAATTGCACACCAACACAGCCTGCTTCCAGCACCTGAGCTAGTTCCCTTGAACATCTCTACACAGGCCTGAATTGTGCAGGATACCTGAATTTCAAATTTAAACAGGTGTGTTAATGAATGCATAAGAGGAATCTCTCTCATGCAAAAGGTATCATTTTTACACAGTAGCTTTTCAGATCAGAATCATGCTGAGTTCAAGCTGTGGATAAAAAGCACATACGATACTGAAAAGGTAGATGTTACTGAAAGCTCAAAATGCAAAATAAAGCAATGCATTACCATTTTTATCCATGGAATGGGGCTCAGACTGCTTCTTTCCAATATCAGCAAAGGATCTCACAATTGGGATCCTGTTGCTCAGCTTCTTCTGGTTCTGATGGTGGTGCTGTTTCAGTAATGCCTCATGCACTCTGTGACGAACATCCTCACTGAGCTGCCCAGAACCCACCTGCTGGTCCAGAATCATATCTGAAAATATATACATAAACATAATAAAAGAGGGGAAAGCAGAAATATTTTCTTTTTAAATTGCAATAATAAGAACTAGTATCCTACAGGATTACAAATGAAAGGTATCAGTTCCTTTAATGCAACAGAATTAAATGGTAAGTTTTATCTGGAAGTGGTTTACTCTCAGGAAAAAAAAAAAAAAATCAAAAAGGATGCTATTAATGTAAAAAATTCAACCCCTCAAAAGATATGCAGTTCCCAAATTAACGTCACCCATGTAACTTTGAAGTCAGTCCCTAAGCACTGTCATACATAATGCATTTAAACCCAGGATTATGATGTGTATAAGGTATCCTTTTTTTTTTTTTTTTTTTCCCAAATAACCCCTACCCTATTTGTTACAAAGGACTGGCATGCTCTGAAGAAACAACTTTTTTATTCCCTTTATACTTACCACAGGAGATCACAGTCTAGCTCTATATTTCTTATAACTATAATTACAATACTTTCAGTACAATATAAAGAAATTTCAGGTAGGACAATACAGGAAAATTCGCTGCATTATTTTAAAAAACTTAATAGGATCTAATTCTATTGACACACATATAATGTTCCTGCAAGAGAATCATTACATGGAAGTGTGAGTGAAACTGATCTCCCTTCTAAGAAATTACAACTATTTTTGCAGTCCACTGTCAGCAAATATTCTTACATATTCATATTCAAAACTATCTGTAAGTATGTGCATTACATATTTCAAATGGGAAAGAATTGTTGAGAATTTTGTGGGATTTTTTTTTTTAATTATTATTTTGGGAAATCCTGCCAGCAACCATAATAATCCTTAACAGAAAAAGAAAGGAAAAAAGAAATTCTGTATCAAAGTTAGTAAAACAGCATTTAAGTACACACTGTCTTTGTATATCCATTGGAATAAACTGTACCACACATAAATAGTGATATAATAAGCTGAGTCAAAAACTCTTTGTGCTGAAAATTCAGACAGTTCATGATTCTCTGCTGGAGTCAGATTCATATCTACCAGTAAACTCAGTGGAAAAGCAAGCAGAACAGAACAAATAAAAAGCAGATGCATCATCGGTAGAGACATAATTCGTCAGGTCTTTTTTAATTGCCAAGAGCAAGAGAAAATAAGAGAGATAATAAAAGGCATTAAATAATTATGCTGGTTAAAAGCAGAGTTTAATTGCTAAGTCAACTATGCACTGTATATACATTGAAAAATACACAAGTTTTTCTGAAGTTCTCAATATCTACATAACAAGCCAATGTATGAGATACATAACTTCTTTAAGAGCTGAACAACAAATTACCTGCATGTTTTACTTGCTATGAAGAAGCCACCCACAAATCTACATCTCTGTGACGACACACACACAAAAAGACAAGGCTCGGTCCACAGATAAATGCAGCTGTCAACAGGTGCAAACACGAGAGATATATCTGCATCTCACAAGAGTGATGCAGAGGTTTTCGATGTTGCCTTTGACCCTCTCCAGCACTTACCTTCTGCATCGTATTAACAACACTGACCAGATGGCTCACACCGAAGAGTAACATTGTCTGGTGGTGTGCCTAAACTAATAAAAACTGGTTTTGGGGTGCCTCACCTGACTCTGAAGGGAACTTTTATCTCCAGGGATTTATTCAAGCACCACCAGATCAGTTCTCTCTGCACTCCCAGTCTAGACAAACACAGTTTTTCTATAACTCTAGACTCCAAAGGGAGAAAGGCATAGGCAGAAAAATGAGTGACAGAAAGGCAAAAGAGAAGGTAACATGCTCAAGAGAAAGTCTTCAGCAGAACTTTTTCAGGAGGAGCCAAGAATTTGCAGCACATGAGCAAAAGAAAAGAAAGCTCTAGCTCCAAGAAAAATATTCATTTTCAACTCAACTATACTGCCTTTTGGGGAACTGTCTTTGCCCTGAGGATAAGACTCTCTTCCCTTTAGACAGCCTTAGTACATGAATTTGTATGTCACAGTTTCCAAAACAGACCAGTACTTTCTGTAACATGACAGGGGGGAAAAAAAAAAAATATATATATATATAAATAACTTGGAGAATTTGTGCTAAAGCACAACTGAAATGATCCTCTCCCCCCTCCATTTTAATTCTGCTGACCAAAAGATAAATTGTAGAAGATGCAAAAACAAAGATTACCTTCTTTGAGTTGCTCTAAGATAGAAATCAAAAGGAAGAGCTGAAAAAAAGGACTCCTCTAGAACAGGCAAATTTAGGGTTGCGGTCATCACCACGCTTACATATTAGTGGAACTCCATTTGTATTGTGTCATTCCTGGAATTAAAGTATTTTCCATATTAAATATTAAAATATATTAACTGCTGAGGATGATATCAATATTTAAGATGATCCACCTGATGAGAAAAAAATGCCAAGAAAAAGAAAATCATATCCCTACTCTCTTCCTTGCCTAGATGCTGTGCTAGACTTGTTAACAGCCACACAAGCCATGGAGCTAGTGCCAGTGTTGGTGACTAGCAATTTTTATTTCCTGCCAAACTGAGAAGAAAGTGGCTTACCTTGAGCTTTCTTTTTTTACAACTTTCCCTTTACTGTAGCACCTCTGCCACATGTAATAAGGGAAGATGCATTCAGATTTGGAAAGACTGAAGACATGTTTTCTTGACTTGATACTCCCCCCTCTAGTTGTCATTCCTTTAATACAGACCCATGAGCAGTAGCAGCTGTAGGAGTTTAAATGCAGTCAAATTACGGCCAGATTGCTGTATTTTGACCATGTTTTCGAGACCTGAGCAGATCTGAATAGTAGTAAGAAAGACTGTCTCCATTAGCACCTATCAGAAACCTCCTGTTTCTTCCCAGGTATTTCAACATATCTTTTGAAAAAGGCCAAGCCTCTGCAATGTCAGTGATAACTCTTGATTGCAAAGATAAGCTTGAAAACAAAGCAACATAGTTAAAGTCCAAGAGTAAATGGCAAACAGAAGCATTTTATCCAACTCATTTTAAAAACTTTATTTCCTTAGTCTTGTGAGACGATCCTATATGCTCCCACCAGTTGAAGCTGCACCTACTTTTCAAAGTCCTGTTTTCACTTTTGTATCTAGAGCACATGGCCATTTCTCCAAACTCCATATGACAAAACAGAGTAAAGAATACAGACCTGTAACTTCACAGCACTGTACCTCAGCTACATCCCTGTGTAACAGACTCTCCACAGTTTCTATGCTCAGCAACAAAGGTTTGGGGATTTTTTTGTTTGTTTGTTTTAAAGAATTTTCCTCTTGAATGACCTTTTAAATTCGGCAGAGCCCCTTTCCAGCCAGAGACACAGCTTACCATTAGGTTTTTCAAGGGTGCTTCACAACCATATGGAGCTTTCAGCAAGATGCAATGTGTGGACTACCCACCAGCAGAGTGTTACTACCTATTCTATTAATTGCTCATACCATACCATTTCTGCTGGCATCAAGAACAGTGAAGTAAGATAGCCCTTCAATAAGGAAACTTGATTCATACTGGAATCATGAAATAATTTTTTCAAGTTGTTAGACAGACACTCTTCCTGCCCTGGTCATTTAAAAAGATTCAAAGAAATTTGAGGTTTCATATAATTTCAATAATTTTTTTCTCCATTCAGACTCAGTTACAATACATCATTTACATTAAAATTGATTTTGTGAGTAAATGTGAGCAATGTGAGTACTTAAACAAGCTATAGTAGTAACTCAAATGTAACTCCTCATCACCTGTGAACAATTTACCCAGGTTGTTCAAATCAGTTCAAATGCAGTGCAGCTCATGTGTTGCCCAGCAGAGTAAATTGCATCTGTCCCACCTCTAGGGCTGGCAGGAATGCAAAAGCAGGTTGGCTGCTTCCACTCACTCTGGAGACATCTATTGCACACTGCATCTTTGTAGAGAGACATGCAGCCAGATCCACACAAAGCCATCCCAGACCCGAACAAATGAGCAATAAGGAGGTACTCAAGTGTAGATGCAGCCTGTTCCCCATTGCTCCAGGTTCACAGTGTGCCCATCACCTCACTTACAGTACTACACAAAACTCCCGGGTGAAACACAGAATAAATGTACAGAAGGTATACTGCACTTGCACCAAAATACCTGTTAAGTCCAAAAAGAAATTACTAACAGGTAAACAGGATAAACCGGGCCTGGCTTTTGCAGTGGTGAGTAAAGAAAGAAGATCCAGATGTTTTTCTGGGTTGTTTGGGGGTTTTTTTGTTGTTGTTTTGGGCTTTTTTTGTTGATTTTTTTTTTTTTTTTTTTCTGCTGGGTACCAGATGAAATATGAGTTTTGAATTGCTGGGCTTGTATTCTCCTGATATAGGTTGGTACTGACAAATTACACAAGAAGAAACTGAACTCAGTGTATACCAGAAAAGTGGCTGGTATATACACTTCTCAATCTTCCAAATTTTATAACTGTACAATTGCAGGACAAAATGAGAGATTAATGACAAAAACTAGAACATAAGGGCTTTTGTGTGCGTCATGATTGCAGTGACAGCCAACTACAAAACCTAATTTAATAGCCAAGGTTTGTTTGGTTTGTGATTGTTTTCCTTCCTTTAAAGGCAGGGGAGAAGAAAACAGAAGCAATCCTAAAGCAGTGCTTTATGGAAGACGTTCAGATTAAATGCTGTCCTCTATCTTAACCTGTCTCCAAAAGGTACCCAAATATATACCTCCCTAGTGACTTAGCAACAGAAAACTAACAATTAGGATTCCTGGGCTGCATCTGTGGACCAAGACTCATTTACAGTGTTTACAACAGTGATTATAAACAAGCTATCAACCAGCAGATTTAGCCCCCTCATCCAAGGAGGCAGAGCATTCCAGTGCACTGAGAGACGGATTCCATTTCCCAGCTCTACCTGAAATTACTTTGTTCAACTTTTCAGCTGAATTACTTGAAAAGAAAAAACAGAGACTGAAAAATGTCTGTTTTTTAAAGTAATAGCATGCAATTTAACTGAAGAACGAGAGCA